CCCAATCCAGTTTAGAACTTATGACTTGAGTGTGGAGTTCGTCAAGACAATAAGTGGAGATGACTCTGCATGTGTTGGACGCTGTGTCCTCGCGAGGCATACCTGATATCCAGCGTCATTTTAGTCCATAGTCGGGAAAGCTGTGGAGTTTGAGTGGCCGGTTGAAAACGTTGTTCTTTTGGAAGCACAGAAGTTTATAACTACCATTGTCTTCATCATAAGTTTGGGGTCGGCTAATCTATTGTCAAGAAGGATTTTGTTCTGCGCCTCCCTTCCACGACCACTGTGGTGCAGGCATCTTTAAAGGGCGATCCCCGGGAATGCCTTTTGAATATTGAAAGCAGATCTAATTTCTACAGTGCGGAAGCTTGGGAGGAAAGTGTAAGTAGAAGCGCTTTCCGTCTAACCATTCTACGTGAAGTGATGCATAATCAGACTTTGTTACAACACCACAAAGGGGAGACTGTGATAATTTTGTTGACTTGTTTTTTCTGGAGAAGGAGTCTTGGATACCCAGACAGGAACTCGTGATGCACTTGTCCACTAGAGGCGCCGTGGGGGTACTAAATGCCGCTTCAAAAAGCTCTATCACATTCTTTCTAGGAAAAGACCCGAGATGAGTGGTCCATAGAGTAAAAATTGTAAAAGACATTCGTCCAGGTCGTTGCATTTTTGTGTTTGCATTTGACAGTGCCTTCGAAAGAAGTACCGGTTATTTCTCGAGTGTCAAGATTGAATGAAACTTTTAAACTGGTGTTTCCCACTTGGAAGTTGGGACCTGGTTGCGTTGTCTGCAGCTGTCACGCTATTTGCAGAATGCACATCACCTCCAAGTTAGAGGCGGCTAGCGTAGACAAAGGGGATAGAATATTTGGATGAAAGACTTATCTGTTCTGCTGCGAACTCGTATACATAAAATCTCACCTGGCTTGGCATGTGCGGCATTACATTTTACGTCTTAGTTTCGATGAAAATCTACTTTGTTTACATCTGTTGTGGTCCACTAGTGGCTCCAGCGAAGGATAGACTGTCATATGCTGCAGCATAGTTTAGAGTAAGTGGTTACACCTCAGAAATGGAACGCACTCCTTGTACTGGAGTACAAAATCCACCGAACATCACGTATCAACTTTATAAATGGATTAATCAATGAAACAATTCGTTCAAGAATTTACACAAGCATAGAAAAAGTCAACTTCGAACGTACCGCTGCGAGAGTATCCTATTTTGCGGCTTCGTTTTTGATCATCCTACCTTGATCATCCACCTCTCACCTACAAAGCCAATGTTTCATATAGGTAAACCAAATGTGAGGTTCACTAGCTGAGTAATGGTACAGAGGTGTAACGCTGATAGTAGTTTCACACTTTAGGCCGTTCGGCTTAATGGGGTGTGTACCCAAGCAACCGAAACCTCATCGGATGTAAGCTATACTTCGGCCAGTAACAAACCACCTCTCATAAATCCGTATGCGACACATATATGGGGGGTGTAAACACAACTTGAAGGAGAGATTCTCGCGAAATGTATTGGAGGTGTGATAAGCAGCTATCCGTCGGTTTGTATATGTCGTTCTCTATAGAGGAAAATGTCGGTTGTGCACAACCACTAACCCACTGCTTTGCACCACTAGGCTCCCCAATAACGCACTGATAATGTCACCTCGATTGGTGATGAAATTTTGCAGTCAAATTGACCAGCTCAGCAAACAAGCCAACGACCATATGCGTCCCCTCCGTGGGCTGTGGAATAAATGTTGTATGTTTACATCTGGCGCCCTATTTACAAGTAACTCAGTGCTGGAAACAATTCAGAATTCAGGAAACTCCCATGTACCGGCTAAGTAGTGCTTCATCCCTAAGCCACTAGCCCATTTTGCAAACAGATTAGAAAGGCACTGCCTTTGGACACTCAAGATCAGCTGTTTCTAACACTATGTTACGGCAGTGAAGCATCGGTGCTGAACACTGATGTCATGCTGTCGATGATGATGATGATGATGATGATGATGATGATGATGATCTAACACTATGTCGAGAGCAGCACAAGAGCAAAAGTGTCTAATTGGCCTAATTCAAGTAAATTCCTCTAAACCTACAAAGTGGCTCAGCAACAACAACAAAAAAGGCTGTATCAACTTACTTAAAATGACCAACACATATATTTGCCGTAAAAGCCTGCCATCTTCTTTGATCAGCCCATTCACAGATGTGTCTAATTGGCCTAATTCAAGTAAATTCGTTTAAACCTACAAAGTTGCTCAGCAACAACATAACAAAAAAGGCTGTATCAACTTACCTAAAACGACCAACACAAATATTTGCCGTAAAAGCCTGCCACCTTCTTTGATCACCCCATTCACATAACACGCAACAGTCCCGTTTGAACCTTCTAGTAGTGCAACGGTTGATGCTACTGATGAAGCTTGTGAGTAGTATGTTGTCTTCTCGTAAATCCGTATCGCGTCATATGGAAGACGAAGTCTATCCTGGAACATGTGGAACTACTCTGTAGCGTTCATATACAATTGCGTGGTGATCAATGAATATGCACGAAAGTTCAAGAAGACGCGTGAAGATGTTCAGTTTTTTAAAATAAGATGCATTTGAGATGTTTACTTTCCTGTCCAATAGTTTGCAACTGTTTGGTTGGTGTTCGCTAATAAACGACTTCGCGGCGAGAGGGCTTTGCTCCTTACACTAGTAGTGCATCCACCTGATAAATTTGGCTTCTTCCGTTTCCGTAACAGAGGTGCGGTTCAATAAATTTGCTTATACACAATCTCGCATCCCCGATTTCCCCGAGGACAATAATCTTGATATCCAGAATTTGGGGATATTCAAGTATTAAAACAGCTAGACAGTGCAAACCCTCGTATGAAGGTTGTTGTCTTAGACTAGCGGGTGTCCAACTGCCGGATAAAAGGCGTAGAAAACGGTCCACCGTTCCCTCACCGTTTAGTGGTACAATAGCGCCCAAACAATCAAGGACGAAGGTAGACGTCTACCAAAATATTTTACAGTCGCTTGGCCAGGCTGGTTGTCTCGTTGTATAAGAAATCTACGTCAGGTGACGCCCAGCTTGTGCTAGCTGAACATGAGCCTGGAAGTGAGCCCAGATTCTTCCCCGTAGAGCCCCAAATCATTTTATCGCATATATACGCGAACATACAAAAGTTATTCTCGCCAACCCAAGCTGGGTCAACGAGGTGAACTTCTAGACGTCATAAAGAGTTGATTTCAAGCTGGATCCAGCCGCGTGACTAGAAAATGGCAGATATTTGGATATTGCACAATGTACATACCATCAGTTTAACTCAATCTTCAACGGTACTGATGTCTTTGGACATGCTGACAGCACAAAAATGTGGCAGAAAATAGAAGCCCCGCTACCTTAAGGATGTCTCATAATAGACGCAAAGTATACTCGTGTTAAAAATTTAACATTAATTAAAACATTTATCATTTTAATGTAGACATACATGCAATAAGGAGCTTTACTGTAGAAAAAACTGGCATTACAAAAGATGTTGAAAGCTTCTTTTTCTATAACAAGTTGGAGGTTGTATGAGATATGAAACACAGCACGTCTAACATCTTCAAACGTCACTCGTGCACACTCCTCTTCAATTCTTGCTCTTAACTCCACCTAATTCTTCGCTTTATTTTCATGATATACACGAGCCTTGATCATTCCCCAAAAACAATGATCCAGAGGTGTGAGATCGGGCGATCTTGTGGGCCAAAAGTCTGTAAATCCACGAGCAATGACTCTCTCATCAGCGAATTGCTCTCGGAGGTAAGTTCTCACTTGGTTTGAGTAGTGGGGTGGAGCACCATCTTGTTGAAAGACGGTCGATGATTTCTTGTGCTGCATGAGTTGCGGGATAACATGCGTCTGCAGCTTATGGAGGTAACTGTCACCAGGAACCGTAGCATCAAAGAAAAATGGACGTGGGGGACAACTTGAGGAGAATCCCATTCACACACAGAGATGAGGGGAATGGAGATTATGGGTGAGGTACTCGTGAGGAGCTTTACCGGACCACATCACGCAATTGTGCTTGTTGATTACGCCATCCACAAAAAATTTGTTTCATCGCTCAATAAAATGTTGAAAACGATTTCTTCATTGTCCAGCAGCCAGTTAGCGAACGTGACACATTGCTCTTTGTCTTCTTCCGTGATGTTTTGTAATAAAGTGAAATGATACCGGTAGAGATGAAGGTGGTGTCTCGTAATACGATGCACGCTGGCGGGGTGAATGCCGGCCAACTGAGACACCTGAGTTATTGATGAAGATGACATGGTGCTCTGGGACTGAAGTTGCTCGACGGCGTTCTGTACAATGAGCGCTCCTTCAGCACTCAGAGACTTCCTCCCTTTGCCAGGAAAATCCAATACAGATCCAGTGGACTCAAATTTCGCAATCAGGCGTGTAATGATCGACACGGTGAAAGGATCTCCGATGAGACCATGTTTGGTTTTGTAACCGCTAAGTGCAGTGGTAGCGCTTTCACCAAGGGAATGGCAGAGTTTCAAAATTTCAATAAGTACACCGATATCCATCGTGAACAAAACAAATGCCAACACTTGCACACAAAACCACCTTTATGTGACTACTACTAATAATAAATTTTGTTATTCTTCCTCTGACTGACTATATTCAGTTACTTATTTAAATTTTGCGTCTGTTATGAGTCACCCTGTATTTGGAACCCATTGACCTAAAACTACCAGAAACTAATCAAATCGCCAAACGATCACTTGTCAGTTAAGCCCTGACTGTTGCAGACTCTTGCGCATTATTACTCTGGTCTTCCGTCGCTTCTGTAAGAGAAGCCAACATCGGACACCGGTAACTATTTCGCACCGTTGAAGCCAATTTCATGGTGTACAACTCAGATGGGGCCAGGATTGGAAGATCTGGGGAAACTTCAGTGATAAGTTTGGCTATATGTGCACTTCTTAACTCCGAACCTTTCAAGCGTGTCTTTCAAATTAGCTACGCCCCTGGCGATTGTCAAATTCTATCTAGATACAAAAGCGAAGCAAATTCCTGCTTCATGAGTCGGTTAGCGTTCTCTCAGTGGCTACAAAGAGTTTAAAAAGTCTAGTCTAGTTTTGATGCCTGCAACAGCAATCCAACTAAGCAACACTCAACAGTGATTCCGAGAGAGACGTTTACGTGTAATGTATTTCCAGATTTCATAGATTCTTTCTTTACTGCCGATTTTGTATCACTCGAACTTACGAAACCAGCCAGACCAAACCTAACGACCTAATCTCCTTATAACAATAGAGGTGTAAGTTTATCGTTGCATTAGCCCCACAAAAACGTAACAGCCACAGTCAGCGTGAGTAGTACTGAGCACGCAAAAAGTATACGTTGGGGTCTCACGGCAATCAAGTCCCAGTTCCAAAGTATTTTTATGCATACTAAGCATAAGTCTTGTTCTTATCACCGATTGCGGATAACTACGAGTCTGACGACCGTCTTATGCATGTGACGGTGGAATGGTAACATAATCTGACATGAGTGTGCTGTAAAGATATACAGTGGTAAAAAAAGCAGAAGTACAGAAAAAGCGATATACACTTCGTGCGGAACGGCAGACGTGCCCCTATAAATCACACGGATATCTGCTGGCGTACTATAGCTGTTAGTCCAACCTTGTCGGATTCACCTCTAGTGTCCTCTGGTCGCCAAATAATGCGGAAAAAATGAGAGAACAGCCTTTGTAGAACTAAGATTTCTGAAAAAGCTCCTGGGGTAATTTTCAATAGACAACCACAAGTATTATTACTCGTAATAATAATGCTGACATGGCATTGTTAAAATCAACATTTAGCTATTCAGAAAGGACATCAGACAAACCACTAACCCACCGCTACACACAACTACGCACTGATGATGTCACCTCGATTGTGATGAAACGTCAGAAAGGACATCAGACAAACCACTAACCCACCGCTACACACAACTACGCACTGATGATGTCACCTCGATTGGTGATGAAACGTTTGCAACCAAATTGCCCAACTCAGCGACCATCTACGCTACCTGAGCTACCGACATTCTCCTCTATATCAGACACTTTGTCTACATGAGAATTAATGGCGCTAAAATATTCTGGAGACCTGGCCAATATGTCCCGGAAACGAAAACTTAAAAGCCTAACATTTGCAGATCTACATATCGCAGGACTTGCGGAAGACGTCCTACCGCGAAAATCCATTTTATAAGCTATGAATTCATAGGAGACACAAACACGTAAGAGTAAATGAATTAGAGATTCAGGTGAGTCTCTCGTGTGATCCGAATTGACGTGCAAATGAGTTTAATTGGTGAAGGGAAACCTCTCCGTTTAAACCACCATGAGGAAAACATCCCCTTAGGTAAGAGGTAAACTGGCTTGAGGCGTGTCTCTGAATAAAGCGGTGCTTGCCAAAACCAAATTTTACATTCAAGTTCAAGCCGGATATATTTTCAAACCAGCTGTTCATTGGTCCATTGTAAAGCCTCTTCTACCGACCGGAATTGGCGTTTATCCGCTAACAAATGGCCCCAAAAAGGAAAATGCTGGTTAATCAACGCAGCAACCCGCGGTTTCTTCTGCGCCTTCTTCCCGCCGGATCAGGAAGAAATTCACAAAGCACGTGACGTAATCACAACGAGAGTATGACGAATGTCATCAACGCTGTTTTCTGAACTGGAATTGGACACCCCAAACAAAGTCAGATGTCTTACCTTGCGCCTACTTTCATGGCGAAATCACCAGAAAAATCCACTGGATTTCGTCTCACCAGTGGAGACTTTGCGTCTCGCTTAAGTAATTTGGTTTCATATATCCAGAGTTAATTTATGCCTTGGAATTCAATTCTGAAGAATGAAGCAGGAAACCCGAGCGTCGCGCACGGTGAAATGATTTATGACATGGATCACCGGTGTAATGGACTTCCGAACACCGATTGAAATTGGTACCGAACGAGTGGCATGACGTGTGGTTGTTGCCTTTAGCTTCCGCTCTGATAATTTCCAGTAATTTTTTTCTGAGGGGAAGCATTCCCTTTCTGGGCTATTCCAGTAAGCCATATAAACCATCCAGACCTAAGAGTTCATCATCACCAAAAATCGGATTTTACCTCACCCTATATGGTGATTGATTGGGCAATGCAGTCCCTCTGCCCACAGACGGGCATAAAGAATCAAATTTCCTCCATATTTTTATTAAACCATTCACCGCCGGACACTTCTCGCATTTACACTAAGAGTAATGGAGGGGTACACTGAAAACTAATTTGGCTTCTTGCGAGAGACTCGCCTAAAATCCAGCTAAATCTCTTGTTTGTGATGTTTCCAGGCAACTGAATGTGCTGCACCAGGCCGCCTCATGTTTCAGTCGCTACGATATTCGCAATATAGCGATACATGTATATTCGTACTGCACTACTTATAAGGTTGCTGAAAATTTGTCGACAGCCCACAACCGGTTTTGCCCTTCCTGGAGCTCATGAGGTAGGCGCAGTCCTCGAGGTTCCGTCAGTTTTGTGTAGAGCATAAGGTTGACGAGAACTCGGGGACTGCACCTACCTGATGAGCCACAAGAGGAGGAAACCGGTCGTGGGCTGTCGACGAATTTTCAGCAACCTTATGAGTAGTGCAAGAGTAATGGAGCGTGGAAGCCTCTATAGGCTTTCGGACGGATCTGATCTTCTTCTTTGCCCTATTCAATTCGCAGTGCTAGGTATCAGTTTGACGACGCCACTAGAGCATATCCAGTAGAATCAAGCAGCTTTAGACAAGTCTAGATTGGCTTCAGTCATTCACTTTATAGAATGCCAGTAATGCGTCCACAGGCTTCTTCGTTCGCATTCTGTCTCTCCCGCCGGAACAAAGGGGCTGTATAAAAGTCCATTGTACTGTGGGAAGACGCATCTGCCTGCAATGCTTCCGACGCATTCGGTCCTCCGGTAACACATTCTTGAACAATGAAAAAATACATGCCTACTCAGCTTGTGTTAAGTACACTGTGCGTTCTTCTAGCTATCTGGCTAATTCTGAAGTGACCGAGTTGTTTGGTGCAGTAGCTCAAAAAGATTCTTCAAACCCAAAGTGATCTGTAGTTCCCAGCCATAATCGAAGAATAACTTTCTACACGGAGGAAAGTCCCTCGTCAATCAGACAAGACTTTCATTCGATGGATTTATCCGGTTTCAACGAGGATTTGCGTTTCTTCTAGGGGAAACACAGTGAAAACTCTTCGACATTCCACCACAAGTTTTGTCCGTTTTTAGGCTCATTGGGTGGGCGTATTCACCGAGTTTCTGTCAACTTGAGCACACGGGTGTACAAAATTGGTGAACCATACTCGTTTGTGTGTTAATTTGGTGTTAACGTCAGATTTAACGGAACACCACGACATGTCAAACGTGGTGCCAACTGAGACCTCACGCGGTCTTTGTGAAGCATATTTACTTGAGAAAGGGCATAAACGGTAGCTTTAACATGGATCTAGTTGAGTCAACCTTTTACACTAATTTAACCTGAAAGTGAGGGTATTATGTAAGGATTTGACAACACAGACTTGAAAAATATGCGTAAAGAATGGGGGTAATTGGACCATGCGCCCAGCAGTCGTGTGTGTTTCCAAATCACATTTCAGAGTCACAAATCATTTGAAACAGCAGTGAGGTTTCGTCCTCACCATTATAGAAATAAATCCAGTTAGGAAAAACGGTCTGGATGAGAGAAAGTTGTTTTCTTTCAAGAATCATCAACCATGCACGTTTTCTATGAACAAATTCTATCACTTCAGTCATTCGGAGCAACTGACAGGAACCCCTGTTGTATGGTCCACTGATGGATCTAGATCGAAGAATTCCAGAAACTGCTTTTATCGAAACATCGATGAAGAGCTCTACGGACTGTTTGACCAGAAAGTACACACAGGTGATCGTGCGAGCAACAAAACTCGGTGAATGCTCACTTGGGTCTTTTGAGGAAATCGTTTACGCTTCATATTTATCATCAGAGGGTCTACTCCTCAGAACGTTTAGCTCAACCATCTCCTCCGCCTCTCGGATTCTTTTACAGTTGCGGAGATTCTGGCACAGCAGAGACGCGCGTAGCGGAACGAGCAGATGGATGGATCCCAGCGATGGTCGTTTTCATGTTGTCGGGACAAAAAGAAGAAAGAGCTCGCCTCATCACACACACCGGACTCTTTGTTAAAACAAAGTCATGAGTTTAATTTACTCAGCCTAAATAAACGAATTGCACCGCATAAGGTCTAGGTTCTAGCGAAGCACTGCTAAGCAAGTCACACCAACACTGGTTCTCTCCATAAAACAGTCCTTGTGGCCAACCCGAAAATGGTCACTGACCAGGTGGCCCTCAAACGAACAATGATCAATGTAGGTCTAAACAGATAGGTTTCACGCCTGTGACTACAAGAAATATCAGCACGTCACAATATGCATTCCATTAGTCCTGAAGGTTTGGATTGATGGCTGCTAATACACCGACTCGTTGGATCAACGTTGAATCACCGTCAGGATAGCGTGGGAATTGTGTGCGATTTTCAGACTGGAAGAGAGCCAGGTACACAGGTCCCGCTCGTTGCTCGTTGTCCTTACTCACCAAGTACCACGAAAGGAATGGTAGATGCCTCACCAAACGGCGTAACTTCATGTTCTTCGCTGCTAGAGGTGCGCGCCATTGTTTTTTTCAACCAGAGCTTATTTACGATCCAAGATCGTTAATGAATGAAAAGGTCAACTTGTTGTGCAAACTTATTGGCCCCAAAAGCAAGATACCGTAGTTCGCCCTCCAGTGAGCACAGAGTGAGAGAACGTTGTGTTAGCTTTGGAATGATTAGTTTGGTGTGAATTTAAGCTCAAAATGCAACTCAAAAATACCCCTCGAATTCCGCATGCTTAAAGCTTGTGCGGTGGTTCGGTTGCATGGAATTTGGTCAAAAGCCTTTCACAAATTTGGAGGACACGCCCACGAGGTTGGTCCGAGGGATTCACAGTGGTTAGAGCCAACTTCTCACGTTTCGACCCTGCAACGAATTCTATCGATTAGCTAGCAGTTTGAGTTGACGACTGCATATTTGAGACGCCCAATATATCACCGTACGAAGGATACTGCCTGCTGCTGGACTGTCAAGTAATTATCTAAGAGACGTGAAGTTGAGAGAAAAAGCGGTATCTGTTTTTATCAACCCCTGCACTCCACCAGTAGAATGGCATCTTTTGAACATTTATGAGGTAAAAACAAGCGTATGGGGCATCAAACATTTAGTATGTAAGCTGTTCTAAGTGTTCCTAAGTTTCCATTCCCCTTGCTGAGGCGCATATCGCTTACCAAATCTGTATGTCAGATAAATGAATCACACAAAACCGCTACCCCCGAAACGCATATCTACTGCTTAAAATTGCGATAGGCCGGTAGAAACAAATGCGGAGGTTCTGTATTCAGTCTTGTTTGGTCTTTTGATTAAACTGCCATGTGGAACTGATTACGCGGCAACTTTTTTTTCACATCACCCTTAGCATCTATAAAACACAGTTGGGTTTAAACAATTCTTACCGGGGTTAGAATCACGCTGTTGCTGTGTCAAGAACTTTGTCAAGTATCTTGAGGACTTTGAAGATGGGGTGATTTAACCCTTCCTAAAGTGGAAAGGAAGGTTTTTCGCGCAGTAACATCCCTATGCGTACGAAAAGAATGAACAAAACACGCCGGATACCGAAATTCTAACTTACAAAATAGCACTTAATGGATCTGTATAAACCCACTCATGGTCCGATATAAAACAAATCATTTCATTGGTACATTCACGCAGACGGTTGAGACGCCTTCACAGGACTAAATAGAACACCGTCGTGGCAACGGATTTTTGGATTTCACCACCTTGCCTCGCGTGATTCCTGTTGCCACGGACAAGAAAATGATATGGAGTGGCGAATCAAGTTGATTATCACCAAGTTGTGGGTTTCCGACTGGCACATACATTTGGAACTGACAAATGTCCAGAGATGGCACCAAACTACGTCAGCATAAGGCCCTTGCTTAACCAGACGCATTCAACTTTCCAACAGGTTTACGAGTGTCATGCCAAGAAAATACAAGTGAATATTTCGGGTCTCGTCGAAAGAGAATTACGAGAGGACCATGGTTGTACAATGCAATTGTGCAGTTGTGTGCAATTCAGTTGGATCTCCCGTTAAAGCTAACTTAATTTGCTAATAAGATCATTTCTACGCCTGCTCATACGTTGGTATTCAATTTACACACGGAGTTGAGAAGAACCCACTGATCAGTCTCAATAAAACGAAACCGGTGGTGAGCTGACGGAAGATTTTCGGGAATGTTATCAGTTGCGTAGTACTAGGTCATGAAAATATATTTAAACGTTTTTTCTATTCAAAGAGGACAAAAGTTTTTTAAGGATGTCGTCACCAAAAGGTCGCTATAAACCCCGGTCACGGAACAGACTTTGAAAAGGCGGGAACCCCTACCCAATTATGGTCGTTTGACGATCACGCAAAAGTAAAATTTCGCAACTATTAATTTCCCTGTAGAAAAGACGACTATTTATTGAACGTTTTCCCCGTAAGCAATCTCCTAGAAAAAAGAATTTGGCCGTCTTAAAATGCTATTTAATTTGGAGCCCTTTTTACTGCCTAACTATGTAAAGGAGTAACTGAAATTCAAGCAACATTTTTTACTTGTGTGGAACCCAGTTGGGAACTTCCTAATAAAGTATACCCAACTTTGCGAATCTACGGAGAAACGGTTCACGGAGGCGAAATTTCCTGGAGTTTCCCTGGAAATTCTATTAAAGACGATGGGGTGCCTCTACTGGACATTGTAGGTGAATTATGACGGATGAAGAGAGCTATAGAAAGCTTCTATATTTAGCAAATTCAACGTCATCGTTGGAAAGCCGCCGATGGTTTACGCGGAAAGGTAGTTGACGCTACATGCAAGGCTTAAGATAAAATACGATCAAAAGACAAAACTGAATTCATTAATCTGTTTCACCAGTAATAACGTTTTCTCCATTCAAAATATTTATAAACATGTTTATAACACATTCAAATAGTTTACAGCGATTTTTGTGCCACAATATTGACATTTGCGCACGCCAGCAGTTTGAACCTGGGGCCGTAAAGTTTTATCTGAGTATTCGTAACGCGCTGAAATTCGCAAAGGGATTTCAGATAAGTGTTGTACAGTATTACGGAGTAAAGAAGGGTATAAATACAGCAGAAAATTTAGCAGACTTCGTCAAGGTTTGGCGTGAGAGCATTTAGTATGGCTGGCGCGCCTCGATTTTGCGTAAATTTTAAACTCGGGCTTTACGATTTTTCACCTCAAAACTTACCAAACACTCGGCACTGTTTACGCTGCGCAGCACTTATTTAGTGCTCGGTATTAATTAGGTAGCGTTGCCTCAATTCCTATTATCTTACTGTTTAGTGGGCTGTACTGCTGATCTGACATCCCTGCACGTGGCGCGGACCACTCGGATGAGGTTTGTACTCATGGTCTTTCAAAATGGCAGTTTCACAAAGAACTGCAAACTCCTTTATATCCGAAGTTATTCAGAAACGAGTCAGCTGAAGTTTCGAAATTGATTGAGAATCATTCTCCAAGCACGTTAATTGGGATGCCTTATCGGAAACCCACAAGCAAACTAAGATTGGTGGACAAACTGAAAAACATCACAAGCTAGCCTCTGAGGAATCCAAGTGATCCCCCGATCTTTACAGTTCTGATTCAAGACAGTAACGAAACAAAAAGTGGTAGCGGTTCCTGAAGGTCTCGGAAGTTTCAAACACAGTGACCAAAAGGAAAGTAAGCGTGAATTCAAAGTGTGTGTAAAATGTATGATTGTTATCTTAAATTTTGTTAAATCCAAATGCGAGAGTCGTTTACAAGCCAGGCAAAAGGTAGTCGATCCTAGGGTCTTATCAAGTTGGAATCACTACCCTTTGAGTTCTGCTATGAAGTACATACTGACGAGTTGCGATGGCTTTCATACCTCTGACTGACGAGCATTTTAGAAAATATATTCTCTCTTCCCAGACATTTTGTATAACACAGTCTAGGTTTCGCGTAAATAGACGGACAACATTTTGGCAAGTTTCGATGAATCACCTTCCACCATACGTCAAACGTATTCACGATTCCATCGGTTGAGCACGATAAGGAGAAAAAATCAGGTGATCATGTGTCCCACCATGATCCTGCACGGATTGACACTACTCAGTCATTCAAGTTTCTTTCACATTCAGAACGCATGGCGAACTACATTTAACACACACTACTTATCATGTTTTTTCCGTGCTACCTTTGCAGTTCATCTGATCTGTTTAACCAACCAAGTTCGGTTGTTTCTCACAATGTGGTTCTGTTTGTCACTGATCTTGTTTCTGTTTCATGCCTACACCCTCCTGAAGCCTAAAAGACACAGCGGACACTACTCACACGTAACAGGTGCGCCTGCACTACAATTGCTTGGTAAAACACGTTTATCACTCACTAAAATGTCCGGCATCCTAAGGTTCAAATCCGTCGTGTATCTGACTCCATTCTTGATGGGACAAGACGGTCGGGTATGGTTGCAACCCTCTTCAGGGAATTCAAGTCCATAGTTTTGGTCGTGAATGGTGAAATCTAATTCTGGCATAAAAGTTTCGGAACTCATCTCTAAAAGTAAAGAATTCGGATAAAATAATTAGGAAACAAATTTTGAAACTCTTGTTTTCATTCCATCATTATCATCATCATCCGTATTTGCATCACCAAAATCATCAATATTAGCGAGAATAAAATCACGGTTGCTAATGCTGAGCTTTGTAGGAGTTAATTGTAGGAGGTAACTTGGAACAAAAGTGGATAGCCAGTACACGGTGTTGAGTGACCCCTTTTCAAGTCCATCCACCGCACCGTGAAAAAAGTATGACAGAATCGGCATGAAAAGTTAATTAGCCAACATAATTTTTATATGGTGTTTCAAGACGTCACATCTTTCGTCAATCGCTTTGGATGAGTGCCTTGGTAACATTTAAACTTCCTGAGTCTTGGCGCTGAAAGTTACCAGCATTCAACTGAATTCCGGTCACTGGCTAGATGCAGATAGTGTGACGAGATAGTACACTAAAATACTTCATGGATATAAAGACAGAAATTGAACAAATTGAACATTGTCCAGGATGCTGGACCAAAGCATGCGAAAATTAAATTTGTTAGCGATGGAACTGTTGCGACTATTGTTGTTTTCTGCCATCAGCCTGCCCTTTTGATAATGAAGCATGTCTTTTTCTGTTTGCATTGGTTTTTTTAAACCTATGAATGCAAGAAACCGCCCGGTGCTTTAGCTCACTATTCGATGTAAACAAGTTTTGCGCTTAAGCTGTAAGTCGTAGCAAGCACTAATTGACCTCGTCCCAATAGATAATTGTGAAACCAGTATTACTATACTCCTCACGGAATGTTGCAACTTCGGAAAACAGGAATGAAAGGGAGAGTCTTCATCAACTGAATCGCATACCTTACGCCACATCATCCAGACTAGGTACTATAAAAATTCAGTGTGCGCAAATGATGGGCTTTTCAACCTATGGGTTGGTTTAGAGGATTGGATGCGAAAAGACACTCGGTCAAACGGCTATTCCTAAATCCGAGTGAAGTGAACAGCTCGAAAATGCGAACGCTGAGTTTCCTCTTCAATAAGGCAAGCTGTCAACAAAAACGGAAACCATATTCAGAGACTGCCAGACAGGAAGTGATAAAGTGATCATTGACCGGCTAAACATGCTTGCTTAAGGCTCGTGAAGANTCTTGTTTTCATTCCATCATTATCATCATCATCCGTATTTGCATCACCAAAATCATCAATATTAGCGAGAATAAAATCACGGTTGCTAATGCTGAGCTTTGTAGGAGTTAATTGTAGGAGGTAACTTGGAACAAAAGTGGATAGCCAGTACACGGTGTTGAGTGACCCCTTTTCAAGTGATGGCCATCCACCGTGAAAAAAGTATGACAGAATCGGCATGAAAAGTTAATTAGCCAACATAATTTTTATATGGTGTTTCAAGACGTCACATCTTTCGTCAATCGCTTTGGATGAATGCCTTGGTAACATTTAACCTTCCTGTGTCTTGGCGGTGAAAGTTACCAGCATTCAACTGAATCCCGGTCACTGGCTAGATGCAGATAGTGTGACGAGATAGTACACTAAAATACTTCATGGATATAAAGACAGAAATTGAACAAATTGAACATTGTCCAGGATGCTGGACCAAAGCATGCGAAAATTAAATTTGTTAGCGATGGAACTGTTGCGACTATTGTTGTTTTCTGCCATCAGCCTGCCCTTTTGATAATGAAGCATGTCTTTTTCTGTTTGCATTGGTTTTTTTAAACCTATGAATGCAAGAAACCGCCCGGTGCTTTAGCTCACTATTCGATGTAAACAAGTTTTGCGCTTAAGCTGTAAGTCGTAGCAAGCACTAATTGACCTCGTCCCAATAGATAATTGTGAAACCAGTATTACTATACTCCTCACGGAATGTTGCAACTTCGGAAAACAGGAATGAAAGGGAGAGTCTTCATCAACTGAATCGCATACCTTACGCCACATCATCCAGACTAGGTACTATAAAAATTCAGTGTGCGCAAATGATGGGCTTTTCAACCTATGGGTTGGTTTAGAGGATTGGATGCGAAAAGACACTCGGTCAAACGGCTATTCCTAAATCCGAGTGAAGTGAACAGCTCGAAAATGCGAACGCTGAGTTTCCTCTTCAATAAGGCAAGCTGTCAACAAAAACGGAAACCATATTCAGAGACTGCCAGACAGGAAGTGATAAAGTGATCAGTGACCGGCTAAACATGCTTGCTTAAGGCTCGTGAAGAATTTTGGACATGCTCCTCTGCTCAACTCCGGTAGTTTGTTTTTCTCATCCGATTAGCGAAACGATTTTCACTGGTCTGACAGTCGAGCGCACTAAGTTACAATGAATTAGTTAGAACTATCCGCAGGACCCAGGCAATTTGTTAAATGTGCTGTAGAATCAGTGGCAGCTGGCCGTAAAACACACGTCTGTCTGCCAAGAATAGTAACTCCTTAATAAGCTGACTTTCTGCTCTAGCTGGACTATTCACCTACGGCTGGCTTGGATATACTGGCGATTCGTTTTGATCAATGCATGAAGATCTGACGAAGAGCTTGGAGGATGGAAAATGCACGGCCACTTGTTTCTTAAAAGCTTCCGCGGTTACTGCAATATGTCAGCACACACGCACTAGCTTGTAATCCGCCATTTTAGCCCACTGCCCTTGTTAAGAGCTTTAACTACCATTTTTCTTGGTGTGCGCAACCTGACAATTTTCTAGCCCGTGTACAATCACACTCTTGCCTGCAAACCTGTTGAGATGTTGTGAAAGGCAAAGAGGGTTCCTCAATTTTCATTGAGTTATATCATATCACAGTCTCATTTACGTTTCCAATTTATCTTTAGGTTAAGTGAGAATGGGTAACAGTGCACCTACATCATCCCAAAGCTTTATCACAAAGGGGTATTCATGTCACTTGGCATTACCGAGATTGACGGTGATTTGGAAGTGTTACCTAAAAAATCTATCAAAAATTCCATGAGATGTCAGAAGATGGGTTGATTGAGGCGCTGATGTACCCAAGAGGTTTGTTGACCCGATTGTTGAAACCACTATCAACCAGAAATTCAGGGGCGTCTTGTCGCAAGGACTTTTCGCGGACAACCCTAAGAGCGACCCACGCGTTTCGGAGATCCGGTGAAATCAATATGAAACTAAGCGTATCATGCTTACTAGTTATGTCAAACGGCATAACTCGTCGAAACGCACGCGGTCTGATTAAACTGACTACAGTAAACTGGCGGAGAATGTTTCCAGCTTTGCTGCGAATACTTCGATGTAGAATTTTCGGGGGAAGTGCGGTAAATTATGTTATCATTATCGTCATTGGTTAAAGCCACGACTATTTCGGAAAATAGCACTTTCATGGTGGTTCGCGCCTTCCACCTCACATGCTGTGCAGATTGCTTCCGGCCACAAAATAATTAATCACTCATTGTTTTAAACACTAAATGAACAATCACACTGCACAGTACGTTCACTGGCTTTTCTGGATAAGGCCGTTAAACCGATCAATTTTTTCTCGAATCGCTCCGAATAACATTGCAAATTCTGTGATCTAAATGAAGTTGTTTCATGCAGATGTTAAACACTTTCGTACATGACAAAGTTTTGGTTCATAACATCAATTTTTCAACCTCGTCACTATTACTACATGCGAAAAATGCCAGAATGGAAAACTTTCTGTCAAATGCCCCGAGCATAAGTTCGAATAAACTCTGCAGTTTCTGATTTGAACTTTTGCATTCTTAAAGATTGTTCAATAGAATAACTCGTCTTTTCGGCAACCGCGAGATATTTTCAATCGGATTGGAGTGTGATTAGATCGAATCGAATAAAAATAAGTACTATCTCTTAGTACAGCAGTCCTGTCCATAGATGTGATGTGCGAGTTGGGACTATCCCACCATAAATTGTTCTCTTGTGTAAGTTTCTCGACTAAAGTATAGTTGGGGCTCCAACTAGAATTTTTTCGACATGAGGGACTCCTTCCAAGGCGACTGTGTTTTTACACCGACGGAGGAGTTTTAGTATTTATCTCTCACACTTGGAGCTTAACTGGATCGCGGGAAAAGTTCTTATATTCACTAGGTTACACATATTTGAGTCAAGATATTATATAAAACGAATCCTGTTATCGGTCACTTTTTGTTTTAAGTTACTGAGGAATATGACAAATCCAGAGAGACCATCTACAAAAGAATGTACTTGTTCTGTTAAGCGGGTACAATGCTTTGATTGTGATGGTAGAATTCTCATAAACATGCCACTCCGAGCTCATGGTTATCACACTTATNTAGTTCCCGAATGAGTAGTTGACTTAAAGCAGGCATCTCACTTGATTTAACCTTAGCATGTCGCTAGGCACGACCGATTGAGTGGGCACACTATAGCGCCTCCCATTGAAGTTATGCTACATATCTTTAAATTAGTGTGAAGCTCCGTTTCGATGTGGAGGCACACTGAGTATCTTCACTTGAGCACTGTTCTTTTCATTCCAACCTGCCTCGCAATGCTGACGTCCGTTCCAGTACTGGCCTGTTGTATTCCGATTGAGTGGGCACACTATAGCGCCTCCTGTTGAAGTTATGCAACATATCTTTAAATTAGTTTGAAGCTCCGTTCCAATGTAGAGGCACACTGAGGATCTTCACTTGAGCACTGTCCTTTTCATTCCAACCTGCCTGGAATGCTGACGTCCGTTCCAGTACTGGTCTGTTGTATCCAGATACCCCATGCATGATGGGTAGAGTCCAGCATGAATTTCTCTGACCCCCTTGAGCATTTTACTTGAACCCATTCGCCGAGGGAATAAGACTGGCAAGCAAACGGAAACAGGAAATTCCAAGTCTACCGGGAAACTCATAACTTCCCTATCATGTGGCAAAAATAGAACGTAAATGACTGTAGAATAAGCAGGGCGTGGTGCTTTAACACTTATCTAACGACGGGAACACGAAAGTTACTCGACCATTATTATCAGCCAGTGACCGATCATTTTAAGGGACAATAGCCGCAGAATGTTATGCCTTACTTTGTCGTAGACGGATGATCCGGTGCCAAAACTATCCGCTTGCCGACACACAGAGAAACAACGTAATCTAGCAGTCTACATCTTTAAACACGCAGCAGTGATGAAACAAAACTGGAAATAGGCTTCATGCTCTTAGCCTCTGTTCTGTACTAGCCGCAGATCACACAGAAGTCAAAACGGTTAACTGCGGCAGAATACTTTTGCTTTTGAAACGGGTCGAGTTAAAAACCTGCGTGGTCGCATCACCCGTGTACGGCGAACAGACACAGGCAGTGGAAATTCGCTATTTGAGTTTATTCTGGAGGTTGTCTTTTCCGTCTGTGTTCGGTTGATGAGATTACTGGGTTACTGCCGGGCAAACTGCGGATGGTTTGGTCTGGTCTTGTAACAACGCTGGCTCCAAAATGCAAGATGTTTGTGATGCTAGAGGCTCGGAAAATTTCTTTCGTTTAGGTGAACTTGGTGAGAAAATTCACGTTTTTTTCTAATGATGCGACGGAACCGCATGGGACCTGACAAACATACGTGAATAAATTATCATTAGCAAAGTAAAAAATGATAGTTGATGCTGACAAGTCAAAAAAGGTTTCTCCGTTTAGTTATTTGTGATTGGGTTTTCATTACCAGCTACTTTTTTTAGAAGTTGAATCTGTTGGATGCCTATATAATTCACGAGGGATTTTTCTGATCTTGCCTACCTAAATTTGGAGGGCGATTTTTCAAACGCTAGACGCGAAAAACTTCCAGAAAATGAACGCACGTGGAACAAACTCCATCACTGCATGAAACTGCTCGTTGAGATTCAATGAGCAGGATTCACTGTTGCATCCCCTGATCGAAAGACTTTTTACTTCGCCACGAGCTGAAATGGAGAAAAATCATACTCTGGAGACATTGCCAAATGATTAACTGAACGAGGGATTTTAATTTGGATTCAAAGTCTCTCCCCTCGTTAAGAACGCACTCGTCATCTTCAAAACATAGGCAAAAAGTACGCGATCCATTCTGTCACAGGTACTTTGGTTTTCTACCGGTGCCAGTCAGTTCTTGGCAATTCTACCCCAGGTTTTTATCAACCTTCAATCGGACTCTCAGGTAACACCAATGCTCCACCATGCTTATAAGGACGCCCTACTTCATAGAAAGACCGCCTCTGAAAAAAGCACTGTACGACATGTTCCCCTAAGTCACACAAACCTCTGGTTGGATTAAATCGCGGGGAATAATAAGAAAAACGTGCGGGCGTTCTGATTTAATGAAACTACAAATCAGATCAGAGACACAGTACGCCTTTTGAGAACTCTACCTAGTAGAGCGACATCCAGTGTGACCTTTCGCTACCTTTATGGGCAGGACCGGAAAGCCAGTATCAGTTCGGCTTCCTCAAACGCGGCAGCGAAGAAAGGTCTAAAAATGGTCCGGTGGCATATACTAGGCGTTACAACAAAAATTCACGAAAACTGAAGCAAGGTTCTAACCAGTTAGCGCATAGGATTTAAAAAAAATGGGCTGATTAAGAAAGAACAATCTGAGAAAATTTGACGCAGTCGTACTGAATAGTCTGAAATGTGAGCTCCGAGAGATAAATTGACCAGAATCGTCCTTCCAAAAGACAAATAGAAGCAGGGCGATTTGATTTGTGTTACAGGTAATTTGAAATTTTATGCAAGTGTTTTGTAAGTAAAATGGTTCCGGAAATTCGCTAATATCATCAGATACTTTGCATTACAAGATTAGTAAATTTGGAGACAAACTAGAAAAATTAACATCTTCTGGACTACCCGCGTAATTTATGTTCGGAGATTGCCGGTAGGTTTCGCACTGGAAAATATCCCACAAACAAACATAATGAATTGGCGACGGTTGGGCTTGATCTGTACTCGAACCACCCCTTCTTCGACGTCCCATCAAAGCTGATTTAGACTATTACTTCTCAAAGTTGTAGATCGTCAGCAGCGTCGACCTCGTGACCTGCGGTTAGTAGATTAGACATTTGGCCCTTAGGTCACGACCGGTTTGCCAGCACTATCCCTAACCCTAGCCATTCGAGACCGAAGGGTGATTTGTGCAAAATGCAATGCGGGAGGATGCGGGTTGAAGCTTCATGGAATTTTGTGAGAAACCAACCGATGGTGATTCGCATTAATAATAAAACAACCGTATCGTGCTTTCCAGATTTCCGACAGAGGCTGGCTTTCCTCAATGCGCGAATGAAGGTACAGAAATGAGGATATCAACTGGTCCGAATCTAACCAACTGTAGTTCCGGTATATTTGGCGGCATTCAACTTATACGCATCATCATGGTCTTCCATACATCAGTGAGTGGGTTCAAAGCAAACCGAAACCATATCCTGTGTATTTTTCACAAGTTTACTTTTAAGTGTAGCTGAGAGGGATATTTTGCACCTGTGCAGTGGACGGACTCAAAATGCTGCTCTGGCCGGAAGCAGGAGTCTTACTCTGACCGAGATGATGGAGGATGGAAGGCGGTGCTTATAAGTGCGTGTACAAAACACATGGATCTACTCAATATTTCTTGAAAAAGCAGAATATTGAATGGTGACTCACAGCAATCCGACCATCCCACTTGGGCTCGAATTGGCATAGAACATACCAAACCAATGATGAGTATGCTATTTTGCATGTCTTTTCGCACCGATTTCAAAAGACCCGTATCCCTGGTTCTGCTTATATGTACAAATGACACCAGTCAGAAATATTTCAGTTGTTGCTGTCCAAAATCTAGCCCAGTTTTCCTACAGGTCTTTATGAATAGTTCCGTAGTAGGGTTGATTTCTGTTCATTACCTGGTATTGTGCTAGAGCATTGGATGATTTCCCGTGCCTGACCAAAAAGCAGTCGGAGAAGGCCTATTTTCTTCAATTTCCCATAGCTCCTTTTACCAGGAGTCACCGATTTTGGATACTGGGTCATAGAAGTCACGATCAATACGATGGTTGTTCTCAGACCCGTCATAAACAATGCATTGCATGGGGACATAAACTTCATAATACAGGTCGTTGATCAGCAGTAAAAACATTAAAAACTAGAGATTCAAAAACAGAAATTCACAATTTAAAGTAATGCAGTATTTGGACAAAGATTTACCCAACCAAGGGATTCTTCGGAGAAGGTTGTAAGAACCCTTTCTCCCAAGCTCTTCTTTGATACGTTCAAACGCATGACACAACAGCTGCTGCATCCAATGATCCTCTTCACAATTCCAAAATTCTCGTCCATTCGGACTAGCATCTAGCCTATCAGATTATCATTTACTCTAAGTTTCTTGTGCTCATAACTAAAGCTAGTTGGGCCCCTCCGTATCTACACATTCACACAGCCCAGGCTTGACAGCTGCGTATGTTTGGTACAAGCGGCTTTCCGATGTGGTAAAATATGCCGTAGAAATTTGGGGCCTGCAAGAATCTTACAAATATTTCATCAGGGGTCACATGTTGATCTGAAGTGGAACACCAGTCGTACATGGTCGAAGGAGTTTCCTTTCCGATATTCTCGACCAGAAATATCGGTGGGTTCCCCCAAACTGATCATTATCTGATATCCTTCCGTGTGCTTTCGTGGTATCCGTCGAGACCGGTGTTAAACTGCACTAATCCATATTCACATTCAGTCGCTCGTGCTCGCGGACCATCCTAAAATGTCCGATTAAATGGGCCTGCTGGATACACGGAAACTAGCCCTGTGTGAACTCTGTCGTCTGCGGTTTTGCCTGTTTCATTTGCACGTACTGACCACTTGACTGCGACCTTTTCTTGAATGGCTTCGAGTTGGTTGCTCCAAGTGCCCTTCCACTTCCATGGGAAAGGTTTCGTTACGGTTAGAATATGGTCCGACAAGAGGGAAAGCGCACACGACAACACGATCACTACCTCTTTTCAGCTTATTTACGTTCTTGCGCTTTCTGCTCGTCAGAAGAGTGTAGCCCTGATCCTAGTGGATATACTGTTGAAACTCAAGCTAGGAATGGCACATCTGATGGAACAATGAACCTCCTACTATATACGTGGCTCGATGGTCTCAGTGTCAGTTTCCTCTTCCTCATTGAAGCTGAACGGTTCAGAATGCTGTCTTACCCACTTTGCTCACTTGTATTGCGCAGGTCAAGCTTTTATTTAAGATTGATGCATTCAGTCTCTCGTCTGATTTATTTTTAAGCCATGCTTATTCGTTTGGACTATTGGTGTCAAATCGCCCAAGCGTGAATACGTTCACCTGTTCAGACGCGAAAATACAGATCCGTGCGCTACTGGCACACTCACCTCGCGCATCAGACGTCCGGAGCTTATAGCCAAGCACAGCTGATAAGCTCTAATAAGAGCGAAACTCGAGTCCAGTGCTTCTCGCTTTGGTGTGGGATCCACAAAATAAGTACGCTGGCACAGAAGGATGACTGTTCAAACGAGAGTGACGTGAATGTGATTACCACATATCCAACAGTCAACCCCTAATGTAAAAGGTTTGTGCTAAGAGAATGAGATTCTTTCCTAGAAGAATTACTTTCAAATGGCAATCGGCCTCATCAGTCAGGCCGGAGTGCATTTTTTCATTGAATTCTACCTCTTATCACTCACTTTCGAACAGTCCTCCTTCTGTCTTGGCATGGTCATTCTGTTTAGTGGACACCAAAGCAGGAAAGGCAGTGGACTTAAGTTTCATTCCTATAAGGAATCACCAACAGCGCATACTTTTAGCCGCGCCGGGGTTTGCAATACGCGTCCCTGACATACCAACACTCCACCAGCGCACATGTATGTGTTTACGTCTGAACAAACGTTTGGGTGATATGGTTCGTTGGTCCGATGGTCTAAAGGACGGTCCAGTAACCTTCCTGGTTTTGTTGATCGATCGGCCCACCTGTCAGGTCTTCCCAGCCAGGTGGCCTAACCGATGCTTGAAACCGGCTGAACATTATTTGGATTAGCTGTTAGTGATCGCGGGATTGGTTGAACTGACGCTCACAACTTTCAGGTTTGAATAGCTGTCCTACTATCCGGGTGAATAATTCTGCTTAGTCTATTTCAAAGCGATGAGGCACTAGTCTAGAATCTCCTTCTTATCAGTCTTTCAGAAGTACGTATAGTTGGTTGTACTGTGCCTGGGCCAACACCTGTATTCAGAACTACGGCTTTGGCCAAAAACAATGCATATTTATCTGTACAAAGTAAACAATATCGCTGACACATTGCAAGAGTGTCGTGTAGAGTGACATTACGATACAACTTTTGGCGACGAGAGTCGTCCATCTTAAGAATCCAACACTCTAGTGGGCTCATGCTCGCACAAAAGTGCGTCAAAATAAGATGAACAAATTTCATCTGACGGAACGCCTGCTTAGGCTTCGTGGTGAAAAACCGTACTAAGTGTATCTGTTTTACTCGAGCAATCGCCGTTTGCGGTTTAGACTATTGAAAAACACAAGCAGAAAAGCATGAACAGATTACGCAGATCGAGTATTCAAAACAGTAGGATCGGTCAGTTGAATTGAAGACTTCTGAAAGGCGTGATAGATAGGAGATAACCAAAGCATGCGTATCCATACCGCGGTTAAACCATGTCTGAAAATTTGGAGGAGCGGCCACAGCTATTCTTGGCTTCCGTGAGGCTAGAAGCCAGGACATCGTCACTATCTATTTCCTTGAAGATGCTTACTCCATCCGTGGAGCAAGTGGAGACATGCAATGCTCCAGTGCTGTAACAGTAATGAGTTATTTCCCTCCTTTGTCTGCTAGTGGTCTATGCATAGTTCTTTCTCGGGTACGGATTTTAGAGTAGGACTAGGTACGGGGCATACTGCAAATCTGATTGTTTTGAATCGGCGCCCTCAAATAGCGTCAATTTTGTTCCAAAAGCAGGTTGAGCCATTAAAGCGACGGCAAAGGATTCGTTCTATTGACTTAGAATGCGACCACAGTATGATCAGTTGAGGCCAGCATGGGGCTGCGTTGAGATCAAGACATTGTGATTCATGTTCGATCAGTAGGCTGAAATAAGATGACAAGTCGATTTTACAATGTGAGGCACAATTTTGATAGTGTTTATCGATTCTATCAGCGGCGCTGAAGATAAGCACATTTATCTGCGCGTAACCATTTTCCACTTCGAAATCTGAAACTGTTATTCTGTCTCACGCTCGGACGTAGGTTTGCGACAACATGGAGTCTGCACCCACGATCGCTCACTCTAATTGACTCCGTGGGTTAATCACAACCAGAGCACAGTTCACGGACACAGACCACTTCTACTCACTCTTCCATATATGGGCTTTGGGCTGGATTTGGTTTTTTGGACAGAAGGGCGAGAAATGACAATCGTAAGAACGCGGTGCAGGAGGCCGATCCTGATAACCAAATCACTTATGTGCCTGCTGCGCGACGAATAGGACAGATCACTTCTTAAGTATCCGGAGGTTTACTTGAACAGTGAAAGCATTGCTATGAGATTTCAACGAGTGACAAAGTACAGCGAGAAAAACTGGCGTCACAGGCTTGGAGTTTTGTAGACCTGGCTCACAAAGACCCGAGGAATTATAGGTAGCATGTCTAAGCACCTCGGTAATTCAACTGTTTCACAGTTATGGCTACTAGTGAATTAGACGTAGAGTCACTGAAGAGCTCGATGGCTGAAACAATATTCAATTTTGCGCAGTCATACCACAATGACTGCCGTAATGACTTTACATCTTTAAAGGGCCCCTAAGTTAAAACTTTTCCACACCATACTATAACTAAATATATACCATCAATGCACTCCCGCTAAAGTACATTAAAACCATCATGCCCAAAGGTATTAAGCCCACCTCTCTCCACTGAATAAATCTGATGCAAATTTGATTGTGTCAAATCGTCTGGTATTGCTCGCTTTAATATCAGTGATAGTTAACAGACCTCTAAAAGAATAAACACCTTGAACTATTTGGTATAAATCATAAATCAGCCTTCGTTTGCCTTGTTTCATAGACACAGTCACAACGTTTGTTCATCATTTAAGAAAACTTACTGCTGTCAGTCCGTCTCTGCAAGAAAAGAAGAAACAATGTGGAAGTTTGTGCGCTGATTTTCCTGTGGTGAGGTTAGGGATGGGAGAGGCTTCCGCAACGCACAGTTTTACTGTGGAAAACCAAGATCTGCCAGGTCAATCTGAAGACAACCGTATATATATTACGTGCGCTCAGTAGCATGTGAAGCATGCTCATCACAAGAAAACCTCTTTTCCTAGAAACACGTTCAAAAAATGTATATTCATGCGTCTAGGTGGTGAACCTCCGTAGAGTTATCTTGTGCGTACATTGTGACGTGTTTTCGAAGCACACAGGCTGTTCGTGGACTCTCACGGCCCAATGTCGCCTGATGCCACTATACCAAGTTAACTGAATTCGAAAGTAAATGGTCTTTTTTCGTGAGGGAATTAGATCGAAACCATCCCACTTGGTGATTGGCCTAATGAGGTTTAATTGGCGGAGACTGGTACCCGACATACTGTAATGTGTCTATCATACCGGACTTAGTTTAAATGCACTTTCATTGTGGCGCTTACAGGACCCACAAGATCGTTGCCTTGTTCGTTCACCAGATCACGGATCAGAGTGGCAAGGTTTCCTTTTGGAGGCCATGCTGGGGCATCAGCTCCTGGCTAAATGAACCGCTTCCACAACATTATCTCCGTTTGGCCTCGTCCTATGTTATAGTCCTATGCACATATATTATGATGTTTGTAAAATAGCCCAGTATTGGTAGTTTTTCGTCAGCACCACCTTCTTCCGTTTCTTCCGCGACTTTTCCATCAAGCCTACTGAGAATGGACTTTTAAGGAGTCAACCGTCCTCCAACACTAGTTGCCTTCGTGAAACTAGCCTCTGAAATGCATTTTGATGCACGGACAACCAGCTACTACCAGCAAAGATTGATGCTTTTGGTACACTGGTCCTTACGATCCTGCCCAAAAATCAAAAATAAAGTGCGAACAAATTTTAAAAAAATTCTGTACTGATGCGGTTTGAACCTGGAGTTTCAAAGAAGATGGGCATGTTTGTACAGCAGGTTGATAAGTTGGCTCATCTCACTCATCCGGCAAAAACTATCCGAAGCCGCGTACTTTTGTAAGAAAGAAATTACGATCACCCTGTTCCAAGAGAGTGAATACACTTTATTTTCCTCCTGTATATTTAACTTTCCACATTCTACATTTGCGGATTCTTAGGTGCGGGACTCTGGAGATATGGTAAACGAAGTTGTAATCACCATCATAATCTTCGGTTAGCGGCATTTGTGTACCTTTGTTTCGTGACTCGCTGGCTTATATTAAAGTTTTTTTCACACTGTGAAGATCAATGTGCGTTCAAGAAAAGCTTTTTCCCAAAAAACGCCCCTTTGGAAATTGCACTTATGCATAACGATCGCCTGACCGTGAAAACCATCGCATTTATGTAAAAGATCCAGAAAAGGACGGGAGGATTTCGCTGCTTTGGAAGTGTCATAGTGAACAGTTTCATGGCTAGTTTGTTCATGGTTTGGAATGTAGAGCCCGGACAAAATCTTCATTATTGCTAGTGTGAGGAGATTTAGGAAGTTTTTGTATCGATTTTGTCTTGTAAGTGAAGCTAACCTGTACTGGAAAAACGAGAATCATTGTACCGCTGCTTCATCGTTATTGGGAATCATCAATAGTGCGCATTTCACTAAATTCAAGAGAGTCTCGAACTCACAACCACCGAAATAAATTTCTGAATTCTCAACTATTCGGCCACGAGCAGATGACCAGCAATGTGATTAAATTGATCTTAGTGAGGTTTAATCAGACTGCTGATTAATCATTCATTGCCAGAATGTTGAGTTCAAACTTGTTGCATGGGGGTGGGGTGTTCGAGGCCGTGTAGTTTTTTGTAATGCAAACTGCCGATGATTATCAATAAAAATGAAACGGCTGAACAGAAATTCTTGGCTTTTGATCATAAATTGGCTTCGCTAACGGGACGAAATCCACCCCAAAAAGTTCCCCCATCTCACACAATCAACAAAATACATATGCATACGTGCGTTAAATTGGCACATTCCTGTAAAAACAACAGATACTACAAAATTATACCGTGTGATGATCTCCCCCAGTTTTTATTTGCACGTAGAAAAAAACCTTTATCAAAATTACGCTTGCCTTGCTCAACCTGTGTCCAAGTTTTTGGGTGTAACACTGTCGGTACGTTTGTCTACGTCGAATCAAACTGCCACCATCTTATCGGTCCTCGTATACTAAACCCTCATCCGTGTGACCAACCGTGGAATTTTCTCGATATAATCAATTCAGACCGTCACTGTTTACTAAAATTTACTGATTTTCAACTATAACAATGCAATATTGCGAATTCCGATGATTTTTGACCACGTTACCGTGTTGACCGTTCCAATGGAGGTTGGGCCGGTTTCGGAGAATTGGAAAATCATCAGGGATCGCATTAGAATGGATTGAATTAGGATGAGCAATTACATGTAAGTGACAGAGTGGACGTATGTCAGATATTTATAAACAATCCCCTCTGATCCCATTCTCCTTTTCCTTGCTTTACAATGCTTCACATAGATTTAAAGTCTAACCCGGTTGATGTGTTAAACGATCCTGGCAATCGGTCCACAAAAACGTTCCTGACCAACTGTGGGTGCAGTATCAACTCGGCCTTATTCATGCCATCCATTCACTGATGACGTAGCATAAATGATTCGTGACGAGGCATCTAAAAGATGATTGCCAATATCGATAGACAGATCAACCAATAATTGCACCTTAAGTAATATTTTTCTACCGAACCATTTAGCGTGTTCTAAATTTCTGAACGGAGAAAATTTGAAGGAATTCAAATGCCAGCTGTGGACCAAATACGAAGGCAGACTGCACTTTGGAAGGAGCTGCATTGATACGGATAAGATGTATAGCCTGGTGGCCTGGTGACTGAAAATAGCCATCGGAAATTTTCCATAACTTAGCCTGGATTGCAATTTCTTGCCTGTGATAGTGGGAACCAGCATGAGTAGCTTTGTGGTTTATGGAGGTTTTGCGAGATTTTTGGAACATATCATGGCTTCTTTCTGAGCATGTTTGTCAGCTGCCTAAGTCACCGTGATGTTCACGTATTGTCGTATAAAACGGTGAGACAATCCACCGTTTTGCAGTATCAGTCCTTCAAGAACAACTGAAGAACATTGACGTAACGAGTTAGCCGATTTAAAACTCAGAATCTCATCGGGACGTGATCCTTTGGTAAAGGATTTACATACTTACTGAAAGGTGCGCCGTTGCGCGTATTGCAGTACTAGATTTTCTGGTGCCTTCAATACATCAAGCCGCAGAGCGCACATCCTTTGCATCTTTGTCCATATTTACGCGGAGGTACAAGTTGCATCACATCATTCACACTATGTGGCTCATTTCAACCTAGGCAATGTAGACTATTAGGAGAGCAGTTTGTCAAATACTAATTCTTCTCAAAGGATCCCGTGGTGTCCGACAACGATGTCCACTCTTCATTTCTGTTCAACTTCATCTTTGATGGAATAATGGGGCGAGCGCTGGAAGGTCTTCAAAACTAGGTGTTCAAATTGTTGCTATTGAGAGCCTTGTCGATCTGAAGTACGCAGATGACACTGTCCTCATCTTTGAAGATCAAAGCAAGGCACAAACCCTGTTGAATAGACTGACCGCCATCGTGTTATCCTTTGGCATTCTCCTTGCACCTTCAAAGTGCAAAGTCATGCTTCGGAACGTGCGGTCCGCGAACATATCCTTTACAATTCAAGGAAAATCACTGAAGGTTGTGGAAACTTTACATACCTCGGTAGTTGTATTAGCTCTGACGGAAGTGAGTCTGATGAAGTCAGTGCAAGAATCTCCAAGGCTCGAATCACGTTTGCTAATTTGTGTCACATGTGGCGTCAAAAAGGCATCTCAATGGATCATAAGGGTCGTGTGTACCAGGCTACAGTAAGGGCTGTGTTGTGTATGGGTGCGAAACATGGCCTGTGCGGGTAACTGATGTAAGGCGTCTTCAGGTTTTTGACAACCGACGCCTCAGAAGCGTGGCTGGTTGTGGAAAACGGGTATTTGGTTGTGCTGCAGGCACCTCAATCCGGGAAAACATCCAACATCATCGACTGCGATGGCTCGGTCATGTGCTACGCATGCTGAACCTCCGTCTACCGAGACGAGTGTTGTTCTCCGTGCCTCCTTCAGGATGGCGCAAACCGCGAGGTGGACAGCACATGACTTGGCAGAAAGGCGTGAAAGAGATCACGAAGAGTTTGGGTGTTGTTGGTGTTGTGCGACTTCCAGGATGGGGTCCCCGTGACCCCGTCTGTGCTTGGCTGGAGACGTTGCGAGAAATGGCGGCTAATCGATGTCAGTGGCGTTCGTACTGTCAGTTTATTTCCAGATTGTCTGATTCAGCGGTTGGAGGTGTAGACCCCTCAGAACGCTTGAGATAGGTCGGCATAAAGTCCCCTCCCGCATCCAAGCATTTTCTCTTCTTTCCACTCTAGGGTTTTAACACAATTAGAACGAACCTCGTGGTTGTACGGCGGTGAAGCTTCAGTGGCAACACTGATGTTTCTGTCTTTGATTATGATGATGATGATGTTTATAGCCAAGTGTCAGGTGAAATCAAATGTCAGTACACGGTAGTCAGAATGTCCCAGTGGAGTCTTAAATACCCGATGAACGAATTCCTTTTGTTGGTGATAACAAGGTCCAGCAAGGATCGTGGTTGACTTGCGCGGCATTTGGTGGCTGCGACGAAACTCTCAGTCAAACCGGTCAGCCGAACGACTGGTCAGAGCCGACGAAATTTTTTATATACCCGATAAACTGAAACTTTATCCAGGAGGCTGCGCGACCATTGCAATCACCTGCCAGCAAACAATGGGCGAGACGGTAGGGCGAAGATGATTGCTCAACTTTTGCACAAAGAATAAGTCGGGTTCCGGAGAATTTGAGAGGCAATGGTGAGGACAACCCGGAGAAGAAAATTAGCCC